CCTCCACCCTCCACGGAGGACCAGCTGTGCAGGGGCAGGTGGTGGTGCTCCGACGTGGTCTGTAGCTGCCCACTGAGTGCGTTGGCCCTAAGGTTTTCGGTTGGCGCAGGCCAACGTCACCCCCCACCCGTGTTTTGCCCGGGGCACCCCACCTGAGCTGTAAAGCAATCTGAGCTGGCTGCTACTTGTGCTCAGCTTGGAGATTCCCAGGTAAAGTCAGGCTGTGACTCTAATCTGGCTGCCGCTAGGGCTCACCGAAGCCAGCTGTTGCTTGTTTGATAGGATTTAGGAGCCAAGACCAGCCATTCTTATGGAAAAGTGTCTTGGGTGGGCAGAGCCTCTGTGGGTCTCCAAGGTGGGCCACACAGTGTCAGCCAGGGTTATGGAGTCTCAGATATGGCACCAGCCTACGGCTCTGTGTGGGGGGAGGGCTCAGCAAAGGGACAATGGCCTCTGCTCCCCCTGAAGCCAGACACTTCGGTCTCTCCCTGTGCACCACTGGTGCCCTTCAAGCTGCCACCCCGGTGCTGGAGCCCAGAGGGAGCAGGTCTGAGTAGGTGAGTCCGTGTGTGGGTTCCCCAGGAGGAACTGCTCAGGGCTCCAGCAGCCTCCTCCACCGACTCAGCCCCCGCTGGTGTTCACAGCGAGAGGTTGTGGGGACTCATCTTCCTGGCCCTGGAACCCCAGGCTGCAAGGTCTGGTCTGGGTCTGGGACCCCTTGCTCCTGCGCTATCCCTCCCAAATCTTTATCCACATGGGTGAGGGACCAGCCTGTTCTACGTCTGTGCCCCTCCTACCAGTCTGGATGGATGCGGTTTCTTCAATTCCGTAGTTGTCGGACTTCCATTCAACTCGATGTGTGACGTTCCTGAGTGCTGGTTGTTCCATATGTTAGTTGTAATTTTGTAGTGGTTGTGTGAAGGGGTGAGCCTCGTCAATCTAGGTCACCATCTTCTCATTTTCAAAACCCCTAAACGCCGGCGACAGTACCAGCTACACCGTATTCGGTTTTTACTGTGGACGGGGTCTGTACTCCGTACATTGCCTTAAACTGTCAGCGCGGCCTTCCAGGTGGATAGTAGTGTTGCCCGTGGCAGACACAGAAGCTGAAGCTCAGAGAGGACAAGTAATTTGCCCCAAACCACACAGCTAACAAACCACGTTTGTTTGACCTCAAGCCCCGTGCTCTGTCTCCCAGTCTCCCGGGTCCCCACGGGGCGAGGCGTTGCTCCCACCTGGCAGGAGCCTGGGGACGAACTTGACCCCACCGGACTCTGGCGCCTCCTGGGAAAGAGCACCACGTGGGGGACCCCAGGTGCTGTCGGGTGCCGAGTCCCAGCGGCTTCCCCGCGAGGGGCGTGCACGTGCTCCCAGACCGGCCTCAAATGGACTCGGGCTCTCTGGGGGGCCTGGGCAGGAGGAGTCGCTCTCCCGGGCCTGTGAGACCGGAGAAGCCGGAGTCCGTGCGCCTGTCTGCTCCCAGGCCCGGGAGGCAGAGACGGACTGAGTCTCTACGGGCGCTTTATTCAGACGACGGAGATCGGAGAGGACGGCGGGTGTGCACCCTAACAGAACCGTCTTGAACTCTTTTCACACCAACGCCTTGACGAGGGGACGTGTGGGTCCGGGGACTGGAATTCAGGGAAAGGGTTAATCGGATAAAAGCTGCAGCGTTCCCTCCTCTGCACCCGGGGCGGTGGTCTCTGTCTGCGTCCTGGGCGGGGGCCGTCCCGCCCCGAGCACCGTGGCTCAGGTCCCGTCTGGACGGCTGGCAGACTGCCCCCCGCGGCACACAGGCGGGGCTGCTTCAGGTCTCCTGGAGTCAGGGAGGTCCTCCCTCCAGGTCCTGGAGCGACAGCCGTTCACAGACACCGATTACCAAGCTTAACAGCGGTTACCAGAAACCGGTATTTCCCCACCTCTGAGTCCCCCCATTGCCTGGAGAGCTGGCTGAGCCCCGACCTGGCGGTGAGAGACGCAGCCTCTGGCCCTCCAATTAGAATGGAAAACAGGTTGTCGGCTGTTGCGGCCCAGCTCGCATCCGCCAGGTCTCAGCTTCCAGAGGGTCTCTTCGCCATCAGGGGGGCTGGGCCCTGCCCGCCGTCAGCCGGAGGTTCTGCCCCCGCAGTGGGTGCCACACGCGGGATACGCACCTTTTATGCAAGCTCCCTCAGCACACTGCTGACGGAAGGCTGTGGTGGTCGGGCCTCTTTCTCTGCTCTCTTGGGGCCCAGGAAACTCGCCCAGCAGTGGGCCAGCCAGCCAGGCCGCTGAAGGAAGGGGCCTTGGGCGGGCGGGGTCTGTAGGGGCACCCGGGGTGGGCCAGATGCTAGGTTCATGCGGACACAGCCTGAGTACGGGGAGGCCCCGAAAGCACTAGAGTTTCTGTGTTATTGACTTTTATTAAAACGTTGCATGTTTAATATGGCAAAACAAATAGAAGTGAATTGCTTTTCAAAGTACACATAACTGGCTTTAGGATCATTTGACAGTATGGCCACGTTTCCAAAAGCTACCTACCTGTTTCTCTCTTTAGGAAGAGTGTGTGTGTGCATGCATGTGTGTGTGTGCATGTGTGTGTGTGTGTGTGCGCGTGTGCATGCGTGTGTGCATGTGCATGCATGTGTGTGTGTGCGTGTGCGGTGGGGCACAGGCCTTCACATCGCGGTCAGGTTTAAAGGCGCTGGCCCGGGCCCTGGGATGAGCTTCGGTGAGGCCCCACCGCCGCCCGGTGAGCAAGGTCGCTGTGGGGGTGACGGGCGGACCGCAGGGGTGACCGAGGACCCCGGGCTTCGGTGGCTGGGCAGCGGCTCAGCGACCCTGCGGGCTCCCAGCACCCTGGGTGGTCCCGCGGTCTGCAGGGCCCAGGGGTCCGGGCTCAGCGTAGGCTGCTCTCCACCCGGGGCTGAGGTCCCAGTGCGGGCCGGGCTGGGTCCCATCTGGAGTGTGTGTCTGGGGGGGCGGTCCTTCTCCAAGCTCAGGGGGCTGTGGCAGAATTCGGTTCCCTGCTGTTGGGGTTAAGACCCCTGACCTCTCGCTGCCCCCTACAGGCTGCCCGCACTCCTTGACACGTGGCCCTCCCAAGTTCACGTCCAGCGGTGGGCAGTCTCTCTTGTGGAGCCTGTCCTGGGCTTCAAGTGTTTTTCACCAGGAAGAAGGCTCCGTCTTTCAAGGACTCCTGGATTACGTCGGGCATGGCCTGATTAGATTGTGAATCCGCAAAGTTTCACATAATGTAATCTAATCAGGGAAGGGATGTGCGAGCACATTCCTAGGTCCTCCCCACGCGGGGCAGGAGGGGATTAAGTGAGGGGGGCTCATTGGTGGGTCACCTTGGAGCTGCGCCCACCACCCAGCCTGTAGTGATATTGGCTAGGAGGTCAGCGTGTCCACCCAGGCCTGGGCTGTGCGGCCTGAGTCAGGTGTCGGGAGAAGGAGAGAGAGGCAGAGTGGGGACCCCGGAGCTCTGAACAGACACTGCTGCCCGTAAGCCCAGAGCCGGGGTGTCCGAGTGGCTCCGGTGTGCTGGTGTCCGGACAGGCCACTGCCCTGCCCCAGGCCAGCCTGCCAGGCACTTGCCCCTGTCTGGGCTGAGACACACTCCGGTGCCCCTCCGCCCTCCCTGTTCTGTGTAATTCTTGTATTTTATTTTATTCATTTATTTTTAGAGAGAGGGGAAGAGAGGGAGAGAAACATTAATGTGTGGTTGCCTCTCATGCGCCCCCTACTGGGGACCTGGCCTGCAACCCAGGCATGTGCCCGGACTGGGAATCGAACCAGCGACCCTTTGACTTGCAGCCCACACTCAATCCACTGAGCCACACCAGCCAGGGCTGTTCTGTGTGATTCTTTAGCGCCCACCACATGGGGCAGAGGGAATCCGTGTCATCTTTCCAGGGTTCGAGACTCGCCTCGTGTGTAAGTTCCCTCAGTACACTCTCCACGGAAGGCTGGAGTTGTCAGCCTCTGTGTCCTGCCGCCCGGGCCCCCCCCCGGAGTGGAGGGGGCGGGAGCAAGCAGTGCCTCTGAGTGACGGGCCCACTCTCGGAGGCGTGAGAGTGAGGGCCAGGGACTGCTGGCAGGGCGGGGTGCAGGGGGCAGAGTTCATTGCTTCTGAAATCCTCATTGTGTTTTGCGTGGGCGTTCTTTGAACATTCCTGAGATGAGAGCGCCTGGGAACACGTGATTTGAAGACATTGACATTGGGGGTTTGTGGGGAGGCGGGGACATACAGGTGAGTGACAGTTTCTGCCTAGGAGAGAGTCTGAACCTGGGGTTTCATCTGAAGTAGTCTAGTTTTCGTCCCAGCGCATACTTGGACGTCTGACCCTAATTCCCCCGAACCTCATGGTCTCCCGTCCATACGCATCAGCACAGAGATGCAGATCATACCTGGGCTCGGTCCCGTGTTCGCCTGTGAAACCAGATAAAGTGGGCCTGCCTCCTGGGGTCCCCCTGGGGTGACGATGTGCCTGCTGTGACGTGGGGGGAGGGGATGTGGAATCTGCCACCAGCACATCTATCATAAATTCTAGAGAAAAATGCCCGGTCCTGATGATAGCCTACTCAGTAATTTCTAAAGTCGAGACAGAGGCCAGGACGTAGGCTGGTGATTGCAAGGCCGTGCCGCTTTGGAAGTCGGTCCTTCTTGACCGCGTGCCACCCCCTGCTGCACTCGGCCCGTGTTTCTGCCGACTCGAGCTCGTGCCTCTTCCGACCCCACTTTGGCCTCTGTGAAGGTGTGGTGGTTGCCCCCCACTTCCTAGCTTCTGGCGCAGCTCCGGGACACTCGTGGAACACGTGTGAGTGCGGGGGCCCTCCTGGCAGGCGAGTGTGACCCATCCCACACTCGTCGCTGTCACCGGTCCGGGCTGCCTGCAGTCACTGCACAGAAGCAGCCTTAGACTCCCTGCACACTGCAGAAGACCAGGCAAGTTCAAGGTCACTCGGCATTTTAGCGCCGGCACTTGACTGTGTGTCTGTCCTCTGTCCCCGCTCAGGGCTGCGACCTGGACCAGCAGAGCATCGTCCACGTGGTGCTGAGACCCGCGAGGGAAGGCCCGGAAATGACCTCCGCCCCCGGCAGCGGGGGCCGTCCCTGGAGCGCCTCGGGGGCCTCTCGGAGGGAGCCCGAGAGCTTAACTCGCGTGGACTTCAGTGGCTCTGTCCTCCCGACCGACTCGGTGGGTCTGGCGGCCATCCTGGTCGAAGACACGGAGAACATCGCCCCGCCAGCCGGACGCCCAGGTAAGCAGGAGGCCCCCCGCTGCGGGCTGCGGGCGTTCGTGGGTGACGTCTCCACCGAGAGGGGCTCTCTGCGTCTCTGTCGGTCACGAGGCGCTCCGGTCCCCGGGAGGGGCGGGGCCAGCAGGAGAGGACGTGACGTCAAACTGGGGCTTTCCGTGTTGCTAGGGAACGGAAGGGGTGGAGTCGGCGTGGTAACGTGAGGACCGCGTTTTGTTGTTGAGCGAGGAGCTGGGGCCGGTGGGGACGTGGGATGCTTTGCGCTGGGGTCAAATTCAAATATGGGTTTCGGGTGCACGTCTGTCCCTCTCAATGTTGTCTTTCTGTCCTTCTTTCTTGATTAATTAAAAAACATCGTAGTTGATTATGTCTCTGATGATGTAGAGAACGTTTAAAAAGCAGAACAAGGGCTTTAGAGGCAAGTCCCTCATTCACAGGTTCTGGGCCAAAATGTTGCGATGTCAGTAACGCTCCCCCGCGTGAATGCTCCTTCCTTCTCCCTGCACTACAGCCCATTTCACAGATGCGCAAATGCATCTTCTTTGGCGCGGACGGAGGTCCCTTTGTTACTTTGACAATGTTAGTGTGTTTTCTTCAGTCTTTCATTCTCCAGTCTAAATAGTTGAAGCTTTAACAGGGTGATTTGGGGGGTTTACTTCTCTCGACGTACAGTAAGTAGAGTCACAGGCCAGGTGGTTCCGGGCTAGGACGGCCCCCACAGGGTCCGGGAGTCAGGAACCAGCAAGCGGGAGACCCAAACTGATAGGAAAAGTCCGTTGAACTCCTCCCTAAATTTAAAAACCACAGTCAAATTGCCCCCCAAGAGGGAGCACTTATTTCCAGGGGCAAGGGGAGAGCCGGACAGCACAGAGGTGTTGAGATGGGGGGGCGGACAAACCTGGGGTCTGAGGGCGGAGCTGACGTCCCGGGGACCGGAGGTGGCTGTGACGGGGGCCCGTCCCGTGCAGTGGGCACCTAGGAGATGGAAGAATACACTGCAGCAGTGGGGTGAACATGCACGAAACGGAGGGCGGGGGGATGAAGGAGATCTAACCCTCCGCAGTGCCCGCGTGGTCCAGAATGAGGAAGGAGCGTAAAAGTCAGGCCCGACGTTCCCAGCAGAGCAGCAGGCAGGAAGGTGCCCTTGAGGGGCACCCAGCTGGCACCCGGGGGTGCTGACGCCCCAGCACAGACAGGCCCCACTGAAGGGCCCTGTCATTAACGCTGTAGGTCAAACACAGCACATTCCTCCTCGAGTGGAGGTGAGTCTGTGCCATACACGGGAAGATTCACTGCCCCCAGACTTGCGAAAATAAGCTGGCATTTTGAAGCAGAATGTGCAACATAGACGTTTTATGTTCATCAAAGCAAAATAGGAAAATGAAATCTAAAGCGAACATACTAGAGAACGGCGGGTACTGGAGAGAATGTCATTTCAGCCGCCGGAACTTAAAGAGTCCTCAGTGGGCGGGTAAGGACGCAAGCTCAGGGCTGCCGCGGGGAGGGTCAGGGAGCTGGGGCGCAGACGGGGGGCCGCGGCCCATCGTGTGACACGGGCTCGTTATAAAAACAGTTGTGGGAGACCAGGGCTTTGGAATCAGGTGGCAGAGCACACAAACGTGGTAGGAAACCTCGAGTCTGATAGGAGAACACAGAACAAGGGGGCGGGGCCCTTTCTGTGAGAGTGGGGGGGTGGGTTCCAGTCGGGCGGGACAAGCCCTTGGATGCAGGAGCGCACGGCCCCGACGGGAGACCACCGCGGGAGCCTGCGGCCGGCCTCAGAGCACTCGGCCCCCACGTGCTGGGACTGGACGGCCCAGCCTTGGCTCCCTCGCAGGGCCCCCGCACCCCTGCCTCTCATCGCCCCATTTCTCGCTCTGTGTATTTCGAGGGCCAGGGGCTGGCCGGGCATCACCGGCCGGCGTACCCTGTGGCCGGGCACACCACAGCGGTAGCAGCCGCACGTGCCTCCCCACCCCAGCAGGCGTGCGCCGCCCCGGCCCCTGCCTGCTCGGCCTCGGGGCACGTGTGGCTGATGTGGCGGCATCTGGTGGGGCCAGGAAAGAGGAGGTGCCTTATCCCCGCTCCCCTTTAAGGCTCGACCCCAAGTCACACTGAAAGCTGAACGGAAATAGTGCCAAGAGCCACCCCTCAGTCTCCAGGCCCGAAGGAGTCGCGTCCTGTTTGGAACCCTCCTACCTCTGGGCACTTTTTCTCACACTCTTCTGCGTGCGCACGCTTGTGTCATCGGGGGCAGGACATCGGTCCCATTTCCTGGAGTTTTCCCTAAACTCTCCTGGAAAAGTGGTGATGAGCGTTCTTCACTAAATCACTTAAAATCATAAATGCAGTAAGCCGTTTATCAGAATTTCTGTGTATTTAACTGTTAGAACAAAAGCTTTATTGAAAATTATTCAGAGAAAACGAGACTTGACCTATTAAAAATGTCTCGGTGTGTTGGGTGCCTGAGTGAGTGTGACCCTCGGGATGGGGTGATGGGGAATGACTGCGGGCACACACCCTGCGCGTGTGATGCCTTCGCTTTAGCAGAACGGCAGGCCCGGCTCCCACCGTGGTGACTCCCGGACTCTGGTGGGCGGGGCTTCCCACCGGTGGGCGGGGCTTCCCACCGGTGCCCCTGAGTGTACGCGCCCGGACCAGACCAGGAATCCGACCCCATGGCCAAGGGTGGAGGCCCGCCAGTCCCGGTGCTGACGGCACCCTGAGAAGCCCTCCCCCACGGCAGAGGTCTCCTAGGCTAACAGCGGCGGGTGCCCCCTGCCTGCTGTGCTCAGCCGGGTGGGAGAAGGGGGGCAGGTCCAGGGGAGAGGTGAACAAGCAGGGTGGGCCCACTGGGCCAGAGCAGCCTCCCGCTCACCAACCTTACACTCTGTGCACCAGCAACACACTTCATCTGGGTAAAAAAATCCCTGGTTACAAAGAGTTTGAGACCCTCTTCCTTAAAGGAAGACGTTTAAGAGAAACAACCCCACTGTCTGTGCGTTTCCGGGGGCACTCGGGTGATGGACAAGGTGGGGGCCTGGAGAGCAGAGCCGCCGGGCCAGGGCGAGAGCGGAGGAAACAGATCAGAGCCTCTGACACCCGTGAAGGTGTCTTTCAGGGCGTTTATTGACAAAAAAGACCTCTGGCCAATGTGAGTCAATGTCACGGTCACCTCCGTGGCCAAACACGGTAAGTGCGCTAGTTGCACTTAGGCTGCCGGGCATGTTGTAAAATAACTCACGAGGGGAGGCCAGCGAACCGCAAGGGGCCCTGGAAGAATTCCAGCGAGCAGGGTCTCAGGCCTCCGTGCCCAACAGAGTCCCTGGGGGCCCGCCCGTCAGCCTGGGGCGAAGGCAGAGACCCGCAGTTCTGACAGGCTCCCACCCGCCCCGACAGGACGGCGTGGACCCAGAAGCCACGCTGGGAGGGGCGTGGGGTCATGCAGTCAGTCAAGTACAGAAGCAAACAGTGAGTCCCTCACATGTGCCAGGCACCATTCCAGGTGCTGGGCTGTGGCAGGAAATGGAACAGAACACAGCATCCTCTCAAATACGCCTCATTCTGCTTGGGAAGAACGTAAAGAAGCGAGTAACTGGGAAGCGTGCGTCCTCGGGAGAAAAACGTGGTGTGTGAAAAGAGTAGAGAGCTCCGGAAAGGCGCTCTAGTGCGGGGTGGGGGGGCGAGGCCTCTCGGAGGAGGTGACGTTGGAGGGCAGCCCCCCTCGAGGGGTGTCAGGCAGAGGGGAGAGGGAGTCTGCGCCCCAGGGTGGACCCGTCTCTGCTCAGCCGGCGAGGAGGCCAGCGTGGCTGGGCAGGGGGTGAGTCCACAGGAGGGGAGGAGTCGGAAGGGGCCGGGTGGGGCGGGCCGTGCGGGGCGGGCTCGGCCCTGGGTTCTACCCCGGGGAGAGAGGAGCCCCGCAGGGGTGTGGAGCAATGGGGTGAGCTGCTCTGACTGAGGGAAGGCTCGTCCGGGCTGCTCGTGAGGAACTGCAGAAAAGCACAGAGATATTGCAATTCCCGTAAGATCAGGAGCCAGCGGTAACAATAACGGTGACATCTCAGAGTGCCGGCCATGACCCCGGTGCCGGCCTGAGCACCGCTTCCACGAGACGTCTTCTTTAATTCCCCAGCACAGCCCCGCCAGGCAGGGGACACTGGCACCCTCGTCAGGGGTGGGAGATGCCGGTGGGCCCTTTCAGGACCTGACCCGGGTGAGGCAAGGCCTGACCGGCTGTCTCACTTCACGCTCGCTAGTGTTGGGGGTGCGCACCAGTCTGCCCTCCCCCAAGTACAGGTACCCAAAGAAATGGGTAAATGGTCGTGTTTCCTCCAGGGGTTTGGGTTAAAGTAAACACAGTCTGAAACTAGGTCGTCTCGAAGAATCATGTTAATTTAGTCCAGATGTAAGCTTCAACATCTGCATCACATGGTATATGATTTTTTCATAATGTTTTGGTTTTTAAAAATAAAACTTTTGTTAATTTGATCCTGTCCTTTGAAGTCTTACTGCCCTCGCTTACTAAGAAAGCGTTTTATTAATATTGAAGAATATTTTACTGTAAAATAGAACATGTCTTCTTATTAAAGGAGAGAGATACTTTTGATGAAACGTTGCATTCCGGAATAAATTATTGAAATATAACTCGAAAACATAGAAGAGGGAAATGATTGAAATTAGACAAACCTGAGAAAGTGGAAGAAGATGTAAAACTGTCTTTGTTCACAGATGACATGACTGTCTGTGTAGAAAATCTAGAAGAATGGCCCCCCAAAAATCCCCAAAACCCACAACTCCTGAACTAATATCAACAGTACAGGATACGAAGTTAATATACAGAAGTCGACTGCTTTTTCATATTACCAGCAACGGACGTGTTTAGCACCCCATAAATGAGAAACTTAGATGTAACCCTTGCAAGTACAGGATCTATGTGAGGAAAGGCACACGAGTCTGATGAAGGAAACCAAAGAACTAAGTTGGCGGAGAGGCATACCGTGTCC